CGATTTGTAGCCTGACACCTGGCTTATGTGTAATACAGCAAATTTAGAGGTGAGAAGGAGTATTTTGGGAGCTATTTCTATTAAGCGGCCTAACCCAACTAAAAGAATAGGGAAGCTACTAGCCGGAAACAATTTCATATCGTTTGTTTATGTGTCAAAATGGACAACCGAAAGTGAATTCAACGCAAGAACGGACTCAGCCTGCCAGTTATAGGACAGCAGTGTATGGATAGCAACGCTGAGAATGCACGCAGACGGACGTCAGCGCCTTGTTCACCAGTCCACCCAGCTGTATATTGGGCATGTATATGATCAACCACAATACCTGAAAAACTCGATGTAGAATTGCTAAAAAATAGGCGTCTCATCAAAATCATTCGCATTCCCCAAAGTTCTATTCACCCTCGTCAATTGTGCACTGCAACTCCCCTTTTCGCGATTTATCCCTCACAGACGGCTTTCTCATACAGTTACAGTAGTCCCTCATTATGAAGACCATGACATACAAAACAGACATTTTAGTAATGCTCCTTCACTCACGGCTGTTGACACATTGACGCGGTTGACGCGGCTGACGCGCATGCGCGTCAGGAATTTGGCACCGCATCCTCATCAGACGCGCATGCGCGCCATGTCACTCATTTTTTGTGCTTGCGCTCTTTCTTCTCAAGTTTTTTCTTCTGCGATTCATTCATATAGCTAATTCTATCAGCGCTAACACATGGCCGCCAGGAGTGGCCCCTTGTTCTGAACGCAGAAACCTTTATTTCAATTCTTTCCGAGTATTCCTCTCAAATTCGTGAACATTCATATGAAAGATTGTAGAAGCAGTTACTGCAAAATTCTGTAAGCTTCTATAAAAGTATTACTGCTACTTTAAAGCAACAGTTCGAGCAGGGTGGGCGTGGTCGGGAACGACTGCAATGCCCTCGGCCGATTCCGACCACGCCCACTTCAGCTCCCTCCCTAGCCGGCTTTCCAAGGTGAGTTTCTGTTCAGTTACACTTCCTACGTTCTTGACCACGGCTGAACAGCTCCGAAGTGGAAATCGGCGCCAAGGAAATTGCAGCGGCCAACCACGCCCACGCTGCTGGGACTGTTGCTTTTCGCAAACAATTCCAATGCAAAATCCAAGTGTTGCTGCCATTTTTAAAAAAATCAAAGCGGAAGTGGTGAGGACCGCGCACGCACCCAAAGTTCGCTTTTTCGCCCCAACCGGGCAAAATGCCAAAACACGCGATGTCGTCAACTGTTAACAAGCATCACAGGAAAACGCTGAAGAAAAAATGGAATATCTCAAATACTCACCAACGATGATACCAAGCGTATTCAGGTTTAATGATGACCATCTCTCAGAAAGCAGTTCTCCTATACTCTGGGCGACTACTTCAAGGTTATCGAAGCTGAGCGCTGAAAAGTGGTTATATGAAATTGTGACCTGCATTCAGGAAGCAGGCCTCTAGCTTCAACCATAGCTCCAAGCGTATTCAGGTTTAATGATGACCATCTCTCAGAAAGCAGTTCTCCTATACTCTGGGCGACTACTTCACAGCTTCAAAGCAACCGTTTCATCCTTGACGCATAGACCCGAGGAAACCAACGAGCCATTTTTTCCCACCAGCTGGCCCATTACAGTGGCCACCAGTTTTCTCACGTTTGAAAGATAGGCCTTAACTCAATGCCACAGTAAGCGAAGTCAGAGGAGCGCTATGGTAATTGGCGGGATACAGGAGGTTTCCTTGCAGTGCTTTCTACCCTTGGTTTGCGCCTTCCTTCAATGCTTGCGCAATCACGTCCACTTCCATCTGTATTGGTTTGCAGTATACGAAACACAATCGAAATCTGAAGATTGCCAAGGATGCATTTGATGATGCCCAGAGCAGGGTCAACCCTACGTTGTTACGAGTAACAACGGGGGGGTCGTACTCAGTTGAGCTTGGAGGGAGGGGGGTCGTACCCTCTCGGTGGCCGACAGTGGGATTCTTGGTAATATCGGATAATAGCCAGCACGTTACGTTTTCGTAAGATGACTGATACTAGAGCATCTATAAACCACGCTTCCCTCTAAATGAGCTTTCAAATGAATCAGCGAATTAGAAGGGCGCCCGAGGCGTGGCGCGCACCAAGGCAAGGGATGTAGTGCAAGCGCATGCTCGGAGCTTTCTAGCACATCCTAAATTAAACATAAAATTGGTCTTCCAAGAAGTTACGGGCAGTGAAACCTAAGAAAACTCGCGTTTTCGAGAAAATGGCTTGAAGAATACCCCTCAAAAAAGTAACAACGGGACTAATTTTTGAACTGCTGATCTTTCAGGAACGCTTGGGTGCTCGTTAGAAAGCTTGAATCCTGTAGTTTATTATACGTGTTCAGCTTCCCAAATGAATGACTTTGAAGGAAGTTATGATCGTTTGAAGGTCAAAAAGTCGCTTTGCACAGAAAAAAGTAACAACGTACTAAAATTTTTACTAAATTAACTTTCGAAGAATTTTTACCCATGGTTGGAGAGAGAATAATTTGAATTTTCCAAATCAAATCACTTCGGCGCTGAAGCTCGAATATGAAGGAAGTTATAGCCCTAGAAAGAGGAGTGTAAAAATTCGTGTTGCAATTTTATTTTTTGCCTAATAACTTATTCATTCCGAAGTGTTTGAGAACAAATGAGCACTCGTTAGGAAGGAGGAGCCACATCGATCCAAAATCCACCTGAATCTTCCAAACTACCTGAAATGTAAAAAAGAAAAACTCCTCGAATTTTCACACTCCCCGTTCGACGCCTCTTCACCGTGAGCAAATGCGCTCCACCGTCAGGAGGCCAAAGGGACTTACGTAGCAATAAATATTGATGGCAACACTGTCTCTACACAAGTGTTACATACAAGGGGGGGGGGTCGTATCAAATCACCCATGAAGGGGGGGGTCGTAAAAAATTTCCAAAGAGTAACAACGATAGGGTTGACCCTGGCCCCCAACCGAAAAATGGCATCCTCCCTCCTTCACCTCTTACCCCACCACTGTAAGTTTGTGCAACAACGCAAGCGCATCCTCACTTCTCGGACAAATGCACAGCAAGCCACGTAGATCTAGATGGCGCTCTTTTGAGGATCACTTCGATGTAACGCGACCTGCCTCAGGACCTTGAGCTATTTTCAGAATACAACCAACAATGGTATGTCCTATAGGAGCAGCCACGGGCGGCGTAAACATTTTCATGCTGACCATGCTACAGACTTACACCCAGTCCGTGATGTTGACACTCGTGGTGGTAGGCGAGATGTACCCGCAGTGGTTTCAGCGTCATCCTCGTCTTCTATGGCCGTCTCGGCAGTGGTTCGTAAAATCGAAGCCACAAAAAGCTGCCGTACTATACTCATCACAGATTCGAAAAGCCTCGCGTCATCTCGTAGTGACACTGTCTTTGCAACATCGAACAATATGTTGAGCATTAGATACTAAAATGATAGACTCCAGATTTCATGAAACCTCGGCATTTTTGACTGCTTGTGCTGTCATACTTCTGTGCAAGATTGGTAGGTGAATAAATTTATTGCCGGACAAATTAGATCCGTAACTTCGGGAAAAGGATTGGCTCCAGTGACTGGGTCGGTTGGCCTGTTAACTGATGCTTGTGCGGTTTCGTCCGTGGCTGGCTGATGCTTACGCTGATGCTGGACTAGTGACAAGACTGCCTTGTGGACGTTTTCAGGTGTGTGCTTTGTCTTCGGGCTTAGTATCCTGACCGACCATCAAAACAGTCGAACTGGAACTGGTACGGACTCGGGGAATCCGTATAATGTATGAAATAGAGCTATTCACGGAAGTCGGAAATGTCCATTTTGTCCGGCAGTGCGCAACGGGGGTACTGGGGATTTGGAAAGACTGCTTAGACCGCCTTTATTTTTCTCTTTAGCAAGCTGCTTGTCTCTGTGCTCTCTAATCCGTTTTTCGTCCCGTTTATTTTCACTTTCTCCACTCCCCCTCCCCCTCCAGCCCCCACCTCCGCTCTGGCTCCCTCACCACCTTACACGAGCGAGAAACCGAACAGGTTTGTTAGAGGATCAGTTAGTGCCAGACAGTTATCAAGCGATGAATTGAGTGATTTTTATCTTGTTAGAAACCGAAGAAACCCAAAACAAGGTCTCAGCGAACGATGGTAGATCCCAAAATTCTTGCTTTACGAGCGGTTTGTATACAGGAGTGGTCAAAAGGACGCTTCGCATGGTCATCCAGTGGTTAGGGTAGAGCAAGAAGAAAAAATAGGCAGAGCTCTCAGGTAAAATGATAGTAAGATGGTTTTCGATGAACAGAAACATGCGCTCGGCCAAATCTTTCATAGTGAGGATGTATGAAGCCGTCTGCATCCGCTTTCGCGTTTCCTCGCGGATGCAGATCGTGGTTCTACAAATCGCTTAACAGTTGTACCATCAGTGCCACTTCATTTCCAGTCTGGCAACGATTACCATAGGTTCTGGAGGGGTTTGGAGCATACGCGGTGATGCTCATCGGTAGGTCAATGCGAAGAAGCAGCGAGTACCGTTAAGAAGCACAAAGCAGGACTCCTTGTTAGACCATTTATTTTTGACCAGGACGGGCAGCGGCTAAAACGGCGGACGTATGAACGAGTTTCACGCAACGCGTTTGGTGGCACCATGCCAATCCATGCTCCAGTCGAGTTGCTCCAGTTGTGCCGCTGCTGGCAACACAGCTCGTCCAAATCACCAACTAAACTAGTGGGCGGAGCGCTTTTGAAGTCCTGCTCAGCAACCAGCGCACCTTTCGTCGTGAAAGCGCCACACCTCGCTTCCTTGGCAGCCAAGCTACTGCTTCATGTGGCGCATATACTTATCCGATGCACTCCATTTTTATCCTCATCGCTTCCTAACATGCTGTTACTGCAGCAGTAGTTGTGTTCTGTTTGTGTCGAACGCCAATGAACCGTCATAGCTCTCGGTTAGAGTTGGTTGCTAAATCCGAAATTAATTCTATGTCAGTAGTTTAAAACATGCCCAAATGTGGGGTATGCTTCAGTAAGGTACGAACCGTGAGATCCTATTTAATTCAGCGCCTCGCAAGCTACATCAACAATGATTATTAGAGGTCAGTCTCGGTAAGATTACAAGTCGCATTACTTAAAAGGGAAGGGGATCCTCATGCGGTGCCATGGAAAACGAAAACTGAATTATCTGATCTGAACAAAGGGGTCCGCTGCTGCTAAAACTATTGTTGTCAGTGAGCAACCCAAGTACTCGAACACCCTTTTTGCATCATTATTGAAATTAACACGTTGACGACAGCATGACGCGCATGCGCGTCAGAATTTCACCCGATTCTGGCTAGATTTTTGTCGATTTATTTGGCCTTTTTCATATTTCAAAACTGTGTGCATGCGTTATCCGAAAAACTGTGAGTCAATTACCAGTAGTGGAATTATTGAAGAAGTTATGACGATTGTGAAAAAAATAAACAAAAAGTTGCCGAGGTACACGAATAAGGGGCTGTCGTCAACGTGTTAATGTAATCATGCGTAGAGTGACAAAAAACTGGTTTGTTTTAGAACTCTCCACTTTAAAGTTTAGACATTTCCTTTTTTATCAGGCGGTGATCGCATGCGATTTGGCTATCCAGCTTGCACCCACTGCTATGGCTGGCTTGGCTCTGATACTTACTGAGGCTCTATCTCGTATGCAGTCTAATGCAGTACGCGCAATACCAATCATGGAGTTACTGTCTGACTCTGCAGAGATTCCTGAGTTCCACAAGTTCTTTCAGGTAAGTTAGAAGATAAAGTTGCTTCAAAAAGACTAGATTATAGTTGTATTCGCTCAAATTGGTTAATTCTAGGAGAAACATTTTCGTTCCATAGTGGATACATTGGCTCCTTATACCAATGTCCACAAATTTAATACATTCATAGTGGCGTCGATACATCGTGTCATGATGCGGTGGTTTTGTCGCGTTCCAGACAAAATGCGCTATCGAATTCAGAGGTACGTTTGACGGAATTTGGGCCTTCTGTACGAAATGAAGCTATTTCGCGATAAATATGGAGTGGAACGAAGCGCAGAGCATGTACTCACACTTAGTGCCACGAATTGGGGCAGCTAAAGGAAAGAAGGCTGAAGCGCTATGGCCCAGTGATTCACCATATGCTCCGCTTGTCACCATACACCCCCACAAATCCTACATATTTCGCTTCGCTGTCACGGGAGGTGGAACTTTATTTCATCCTTGTCAGCGGTTTCCATTCGTTTTTTTCATTACGGCGTTACACACCCCATGTCTGCAGACTAACAAGTGTAATCACACATCAGTTCGATCCCGAACTTGGCCTTCAATTTGACCCTTTCATTTGATGACTTCGATTTTCTTCACTAAAATCTTTGTGTTCCAGTCATATTGAGGATTCTGTGCGTATGTCTCCATATCTGTCATTTCCTGACATCGCTTCAGGTGGAGGTCGGCAACTAAGTGGCGATGGACGTCAGGTTAGTGTAGCTTCAAATTTGAATAAGGCATGTGCTGTGGAATATTTGAGCGTGATTTGGGCTCGCTGAGGTCCGGTAGTGATCACAGTTGAGGACTAAGAAAATCTGTTGCCCCTGACAAGTTGTCATGTGCTGGTTATTGACAGTCATGCATACCCTTTCGCGTGAATTCGCTTTTGTGCAAATAGGGTGTGTGTACTTAGTTTGAAACTTAGTACGGTAGCTCCAATAGTGATTACTGT